CAGCTTTCAGTTATTTTATTGCCTTGCATACTCGGTATGTTATTTCGTACTGACGTCCCTTTTTCTGGGGACGCTACATTTCATGCGTGCTGGTTCAGACAGACAGGTGGGTAGACCTCCTTAGTAGGTGTTGCCCGAGTTCAACTTTATCGGTAAGCTCCACATCCTTCGTAGTTGCCGGGTCTAGAATTTTGTGTACATCTTGTGTATATATGTATATAGGTTATGGGTAGGTCGGGGCCCTATTCCGATCACAGTACATCCATCAGTAGAGGCTTGTAGACATATCCTATCAATTAGTACAGTATGTTGGGCTTGTAGGCCTTGTATGTATATTTTATTGGTTTGTCAGCTATAGTAGTTATGACGGCCATGTCGGCCCAGCTTTATATTGATGTTTAGTCAGCGTTAGCTTCCGTTCAGTTTTATATTTTACTTCGCAAATTGTCTTGAAATGTGTCCACGTCCAAAGTATGACATTATATATTCAGAGTCCCTTCGTCGCAAGTTGGTACGCAAGGAGAAGTGAGGCACTGAGTGCCGGTCTCGCCCCCAGGTTCGGGGCGTGATAGAGTTCGAGCAAACACTCACTCAACCATAAGGCCCAAGGGCTGTTTTTTACTTCGAGTTTGAGCAAACACTCACTCAACCATAAGGCCCAAGGGCTGTTTTTTACTTCGAGTTTGAGCAAACACTCACTCGACCATAAGGCCTAAGGGCTTTTTTTACTTCGAGTTCGAGCAAACACTCACTCGACCATAAAGCCTAAGGGTTGTTTTTTACTTCGAGTTCGAGCAAACACTCACTCGACCATAAAATCTAAGGGTTGTTTTCTGCTTTGAGTTCGAGAGACCGTCCTCGCTCAACTAAAAAACCAAGGGTTACTTTACTTCGAGTTCGAGCAAGCACTCACTCGATCAAAAGGCCTAATGGCTACACTAGTTCGGTTTTGATCAAATTATCTGAACCCCGACCTTAGAATACAACTTCACAATTCTATAAGGCAGAAAGGAAGAAAGTTTTTTATACATGTCAAAAATCATTTACAAGGGCAGCATGGCCCAATCAAATTTCTCTACAAAAGACCAAAACGGTCTTATAAGTAACACAAAAAATACTAAAGGACTTAGTCCTCTCCGGGAGCAGCATCTTTGCCCTCAAGGCCCCCTTCACTTTCAGATCCACTCGTACTCTCGGTATTATCATCATCGAGAAAGGCCAACACTCTGGTTTCGGCTTCAAACTCCTTAGCTTTATCGATCTCGGCTGTAAGATCGAAGCCACGAGCATGGATCTCTTCGAGAGTCTCCCTTCGAGACTGGCATTTAGCATGCTCGGTAACCCAGTTTGCTTGAGCCTGAGCAGCCTCAGCAACCTCCTTTGCTCGAACCTGAGCAACTTTGGCATCGTATCGATAAACGGCCACCATTGCATCAGCATTGGCCATGGTTTACTCGACCTCCGATTTGGCCGCTGCAAGTTCTGTGGCCAGTCTCTCTCGATCAGAATTTGCTGAGCTCAACCGAGACTGGAACTCCTCGATTTTCTTGGCTTGCACCAAGGATTTCTCTTTCAAGCTTCGGAGTAGGGCCTCAGCCGAAGCCAGTTGAGTTCGGGCAGTCTCCTTTTCTGAGGCGAGGCGGTCCATGTTCTTCTTCCATTCCTCAGCCTCCGATTTCACTACGTCCACTTCAACACGAAGTTGCCTGACCATATCGAACTTTTGCTCGACCCGTGGAACCGAACTGTTAGCCATCACTCCCGAGTCAATATCATTAAATTCAAAGATTCTTTTTACCTGCTCGGCCAGCTTAGCTTGTTCTTTCCGAGATGCTTCTGGCTCAGCCCGAAGTCCTTTAACTTCTCCTTCTCTCTGCTCACCGTGAAGCTTGAAGGCATCTCTCTCATCAGTAAGCCTTCGAACTTCGACTTCGTACCGGCTCAGCTCCCCTCGAGATTGGAAAAATGCCTCGTGATGAAGCACAGAAGCCTACAAAAATAAAAAGAAGGGATTATACAAGGAAAGAAAAACACAAGTATGAAAATTGGCAAAGAAAGTATGAATTTACCCGATTCAGGGCATGTTGGGCTTCGTTGAAAAGGCAAGGCACTCCTACCTCGCTCGAGCTCTTCTTCGGAGCCTCCAAGTCACTCAGACCGGTGACATCTTCTACCCCGATAAAATAAACATGGAAAGGGTCCTCCTCTCCATGGGCTCCCTCCCCATGACAAGTCTCGACAGTTTGAGCGTCACGTATCATTGACTAGGAAAATGAAGGGAAAGAGGGGGAATCCCCGATCTTTATTGCCCCGAGTAGGTTTTTTTAGGCGTCGCCTCCGTCTTGGGGAGCCTCAAGCTCGGTTTGCACACCGGCATCCACAGCTTCTTCGACGGTCTCTTTGCCCCGAGGTAAAACACCCTCAGTCCCCCTCGGCTCGGGAACTTGGGTCAAAGTCTCCTCCTCGGCCTCATCAAGCCTGGACGGAGCAGTATCAACTCCCACCGATACCGAAGTATTTTGAGTATCGGGGCAAACCCGTGCACGGGCCACCAACCCGGAATCACTTTCTTCTTCTTCTTCTTCTTCATCCCTTAGACTCAGGACTGACTCTATAGTCAAAGGGATTATGTTCACCTTAGGTTTACGAGCCGCTCTCTTCTTGGGTTTTTGACCCTCGGAGTCCGAGGCCCTTTTTCTCTTAATCACCTTCTCCGGTTTTATGATAGGCGCTAAAGCTTCTTCATCACCTGATGGGGATCTCATAATCGCATCTTTTCCGAGACCTACAAAGAAAGAAAAGTAAGTAAAACCTATGCCTGAAAAAATGCTTGAACGGTAAGCAAATCGGTAAGCCAAGAAGAGGGTTTACCATGACTACGAGACTCCCGCCGGCCCTTTGACAAATCGCGTCATGCGCGCTCGGCGTATGTTGACGTCGAAACTAGGCTACTGACCCAGTTCTCGATATGGGGAACCGCACCCGGCATCCAAGCAACGACTGCGTCAAGAAAAACACTGATAAGAAAGGATCAAGAAGTAAAAACAACAAAAACTAAAAACGGGATTACACTTACAGTTCATATTCCATTTCTCGGGAAATGGCATACTCTTAGCCGGGATTAGGTCCGAGGTCTTCACTCGAACGAACCGGCCCATCCAACCTCGATCTTTGTCTTCATCTATGCTCGAGGCGAACGCCTTGGTGGCCCAGCGTTGAAGCTTTATCAGCCCACCTCGGTAAAGTCGAGGACTATATAATCTTATGAGGTGGTCGAGGGTGAAGGGAAGCCTGTCGATTTTGCTCACAAAGAAACGAAGCAGTATCACAATCCTCAAAAAGAAGGGTGAATTTGACCGAGGGTCACCTGGTATTTATTGCAAAAATCGACGATGACTGAATCGAGGGGACCCAGCATGAAAGGATAAGTGTAAATACTCAGGTACCCTTCCACGTGGGTAGTGATTGCCTCCTCCGGTGCTGGTATCACAACCTCTTTATTTTCCCAATGGCAGTCTTTTTTTACCAGGTCAAGAAGGCTTTTTGGTATCGAGCATATATATCTCGACATCGGCTCGCATCGACCAGCAACCGAGGAGGGTTTCTCGACCTTAAAATCGGAATCAATAACGCAACCCTTGGGATCAAGCTTTTCAAGGCGCGGCTCCACCACTGTTTTCTCGTCGGCCGGCCGAGATGAGGAAGCAACCTTTTTCTGCGGAATAATTTTAGATATTTTTGCCATCTAATTTTTTATAAACAAAGAAGAAGGGAGAGTGAAGTATTTGGTGTTTTTAGAAGAATAAGCGAAGAAATTCCAAAACCTAGAAATATAGAGCTTTTGGGAAGGCGAAGAACTGTGAAGATTGGAATGAAAAGAGATTTGAAGGTAAATGTTTGAAATAATGAAAAGGGGGCTATTTATAGATTTCACAGTGACGGTTTAAAATTGGCAGTGGCCGACCATCGACTGTCGCGCATTTAATGCCTTGGTAACTGGACCGACGGGACATTTGTCACATACGTCACAATCGGGCTCGTCACAGACGTCAGTATGTATCTAGTCGGAGGTTGAAAAATCATATCGTTTCTCGCAACATTCTTTCCGAGAAACGAGGGGACTATCTGTATACGGTCAAAACCGAGTTTGCCCTTCGTGCGACTAAACAAGATTGAAGCATGATGGACCGAGGTTCGTCATTATAATATCGAGTTGTGATGTGAAGTTGGAAGGTCGAGCTCTAGACCCAGAGACCGATCAGTACCGAGATCGAGTCGAGGTCGAGCTCGAGATCTAGAGACCGATCAAATACCGAGATCAAGTTAAGGTCGAGCTCAAGACCCAGAGACCGACCAAGATCGAGACCGATCCAAGGAACAACAAAGCCGCTATAGCCGCATTTGGAGAGAGAATCTCGGCTGAAATCACGGCTTGAATCAAGGAAAAGCCAATTAATTAATCTATCATGTGATCCTCACTATGTATTTTTAATTATATCCAAAGTAGGACTCCTCCACTATATTAAGAGTGGCTAACATTTATAAAGGGGAGATGGATATACACACACATTCTCACATTCAGCGATTATTGAGATTTACATAACATCTAGCAAATATTATCCTTTTTTGGGCTTTTGATATTGATTCATCTTGTTCATTTATCAATCATTCTCTATTCAATTAGGGTTTGTATTCATTCCTTTTTACGGTCAATATTCAATATATTCCTACTTACTTTTCTAATTTGTGCCGAGTTATACCACGTATCCTTAGAACTACGTATAAATTCTAACTCTATCTGTTTTTCGGGTAAACAATTGTGAAATATGTTTACTGAAGTAATGCTGATACCTTATTTCATTTTTTTTTGTTTTCCAAAATTATATTTATAAATTTTAATATTTGAACAAAAATATTGTAAAATTAGTGGTCGAAATATCACAAATTCAAATCAAAATATTAGGACGGAGAAATTTTTTCACTAATAGGAATGTTGAAATCCAAAATTGTCACTCTTTACTCTTTACTCGTGGTAACGGGTATTTACCCGATTCCCTAAATCCGATCCCATTCATTACACTACAACTATCACCCAACCATCATTTCACTGAAATTGATAAGAGTTTACGAGAGGATCAAACAAAATCAAAATCAAAGATCGAGGAATTAGAAATACAACAGATCAACAAACAAAGCGTGCACCGACGTGTATGATAGGTAATTTGATATATGCTGCTAATCCGTTCAATTTATTTACGTAAACGTGCTTGTTTGCCTAAAGTGTTCTCATTCAATTCTCGCAGTGCGTTTAGGTCACTTTAATTTTGTCCTTTTCACGATTGTATATTCACGACATTTACTAGGAAACTGTTTTAATTGGATTGTAACGCAGATTTGATATGTTAGGTTAGATTGCATAACGGTTTTGATTGTAGATGGCTAGTATGCAAAATTATGTGTTTATACTGAAGTCGGTCTAAGAGCTACTAAATGAAAAAATTACCCTACTGAGCAATTTATTTTCTGTGAGCATGAGCGAAAAGCAGTTACCTCCCATCTGCCCAAGCCTTGGTAGGTAGAGTTACCCGGTAGCTGTACTGCTGTCGTAGGTATTGGTGGAATTAGTCTAGGTGCGCACAAGTTGGCCCGGACACCTCATTAAACAAAAGAATGAAATGCACTTGAATAGAGCTGAATGGATACATTGGATGATTCACAGTCGACTCCAGCTGATTGAGACAATTGATTCATTGAGCTGTCTTAGAGAAAAGTTCAAGCTTAAGGCATTGTCGGAAGAATCTTTTCTTTGAAGAACCTCTAAGATCTTCAACATTGGATGGACCAAGGGGACCCTCGAAATTGTTTATTGAAATTGGCTACTTTAAATTTGGGAATAATGCATTGTAGTTGATATTTTTAAGGTAAGGTAGCAAACTTTTGCATTGACCAGGGCACAATGCATAAGTCAATATCCTCTGTGGGCCTGTGACCTGTGTTATATACGGCAGGAATGAGGGAAAGATCTAGTCAAGTAGAGTTTCGTCAAGTAATCTTCAATGGGCCTTTAGATTCATGCCATGTTTACATAAACTAACTCATGGCTGAGATGCATTTAAGATCTTATGCTTACGACAAGAACTAAAAATGGCAAACATGAATTAACGGCAGTGACTAACAATAACATCTAACCACGTCTCCTTACTTTTAAACTACAAAAGATGCACCAGTTAAATTTTTCTCTAAATGAGATACTTATATTGATTGTGGAAAATATCGTTGCTAAGAAATTTGATAATATTCTGCACCAAATACAGGAACAAAAAGTGAGTACTTTGTATTTGTATATTAATGTGTTATTTGTAAAATCCCTTTTCAAAAAGGTTAAAAGAAAGATCATTCCAATGAAATACTTCATGGAAGGCAGGAAGGATTCTGAGAATATTTTTCTTGAGATGGAAAAGCTGGTTCTCGCTATTTTATTGAGAAAATTCAACTGGTACATTTTTTGTAGTTTAAAGCAAGGAAACATGGTTAGATGTTATTGTTAACGGCTGCCGTTAATCCATGTTTGCCAATTTTAGTTCTTATCGTAAGTATAGGATCTGAATTGCATCTCAGTCGTGAGTTAGTTTATGTACACGTGGCGTGAATCTGAAGGCCCATTGAAGATTACTTGACTAAATTCTACTTGACTGGATCTTTTTCCAGGAATGAGATGGTACCACTAGAAACTGGTTAAGACTACAGAATGACTAAACCTAAAGATATCTGTAGTCCTAAATTGATTGAAAAATATGTTCTTCCTGCATTATTTTCAGGATTGAATGGCTCTTGTAATTGATGCAATTTTCTGCCATCTTTTCCTCAGCTGGATCAAGTTTTCTATTCGTGATGTGAAGCTCTATAACTTGAGCACCTGGATTCATTTATTGTACCGCTGCTACTTTTTGTTTCGATTCATTCTTGCACTGAAGAACTTGAATATTTAATAGTGATGTAAGAAGTCATACATCCTTTACAAATTTTGAATGCTACACCGGGTGCAAAACGTATGATTTGCGGAACATTATGCTTATAGTCAAAATTAGATGTCAGGACTATTATTAAACAAGGTAAAAATTTTGGAATTAAAAACTTATTTAATAAAGATACTCTGTCTCTCTCAGTCGCATACACACTTAACTAGGGTGAAGCTGAAAAAAATAGGAACTTTATGTCCAATAAATCTTGGTCCGAGGTTTGGAATTAGCAGCCAAAAAGCATGGGAAATTTGTAGTTTCTCTGACTTCAAAATCTGCAAGTTGATTTCTTACCTTTTTGTGGTTGCTTCTAGTTGTGTGCTTGTTTAAGGAAAATGGTGAAGTTGACTATGATTGCTCGTGTAACTGATGGCCTTCCTCTAGCTGAGGGGCTGGATGATAGCCGCGATGTTCCAGATTCAGATTTCTACAAACAGCAAGCCAAGTCCTTATTCAAGAACCTCTCTATGGGCCAGAATGAGGCATCAAGGATGTCCGTTGAAACTGGACCTTATATTTTCCAGTATCCTTTTATTGTTTCCATATAATTCTTCTTTCTATTTTCATGGTAGTGTTTACATCTCTTCCCAGAGGCTAAATGGAAATTTTTGTAAGTAAATTAGTAATAACTTCTTTGTTCAAAAAGATGACTGCAAGGTAAGCAATTCCATACACTTACTGATCTTTTCCAAATAGCTTCACTGGGTTACCTATGCTCAGATTATGATTCCTCTCGATTTTCCTCTCAAGGAAAGAGAGAATTCTGCTAATTTATAATGAGTCATCGTTGCAATTAAATGTGGATACCAGTCTACGGAGGCTTTCAATTTGAAGACTATAAGATGCCTATTAGTTTTATTTTTGTAATTTAAGGAGAACTCTATGAGGGCCTCTGCAGTTCTTATTGTTGCAATTTTTGGGGGCAAGTAGAATCAGTGTACTCAGAACTAATGAGTATGGGTGTTCCTCCAGCTTAATGCTTTTGATAAGTGAAATATCTTCTTGGATGAAATGTGGTGATAAATATGGATGATGCAATTAATCCAAAAGAACAAAAAGAAAGCTTGATATTAGTTTATGCACATCCATTACTTGGATAGTAGCTTCTCCACTTGATATGCATTTAATATGTCTTATAAGCATTTTATTTCTCATTTTTTCTGGTTTTGTGGGGACCACCAAGGACAAGGTAGGTATAGTCTAGTGAAAATGCGCTCCAACTTTAATCATGAGCTTGGAGGTTCGAGTCATTAAGGGAGCACAGTGGGAACTAGTATTTGTCTCCTGCAGAATTTGGGGGTTGGGAGTTATAATACTGTTATGAAAATAACAAAGAGAGTTATAAATAGGACCAAGTTTATCATTAAAATTATGACTATCTGAATGTGAAATCTTGGGGATGATTTGGCATGTTACAATTGTTAATGTGAAACTGTGACTTTCCAAGTGTCCACTCTCGCTACTGCTAATTCATTTGCTTGCTTTCTAAATTGGTACTAGCTTGTTACTTCTGCGTCCTTCCAACCCACTTGAAAACATAACTTATGGGAATTGTGAATCTACTGTTGTCTTAACCCAAGCTCTCAGTTATATCATTGAAGGGCACGTTTGTTATCTGACTATGTGTGATCGCTCTTATCCAAAGAAACTTGCCTTTCAGTACCTGGAAGACCTTAAGAATGAGTTTGAGCGTGTCAATAGGAGTCAAATCGAAACTGCCGCTAGACCTTATGCCTTTATCAAATTTGGTAAGCAACTTTCCTCAACTCTCTCTCCTTTTCAGTTTACCAATTTGCTGTTGTTAATACTGATTTTCTATTCTTCCAATATATAATTTTCCCTATTTTAAAAGATACATTCATACAGAAGACGAAGAAACTGTACCAGGATACCGGAACTCAGCGCAATATTTCGAAGTTGAGTGATGAACTTTATGAAGTTCATCAGATAATGACTCGAAATGTACAAGACGTTCTTGGTGTCGGTGAAAAATTGGACCGTAAGTTTCTCAGCCCAACATTTTTCTGAACTCTATATCGTTAAAAAGTTTGCAAAACTTCTAGAGCTCTTCCGGGCATTTCCTCATTCATTTTCTAGATATCTGCAAAGTTTCTAATTTCCAAAGGACTTTTGTGCTGTCCATTTCTTTGGCAGTTTATTTACTGTCCTCAATTATTAGTTAATGATAGTTTTTTTTTGCTTAGTATCTTGTCCAAAGTGTGGAATCTGCCACTAACGCTTGTGTTAGGGTAGGCTGCCTACATCACACCCCCTTGGGTGTGGCCCCTCCCCTGGACCCTGCGTGAACGCGGGATGCTTTGTGCACAGGGTTGCTAAAGTTGGATATATTCTCAAAGAGGAAATTCTAGAAGTTGGAGATCTCTCTAAATTTCCTACTGCACTTGTGCTTTTTATTTGGGGGATTGAATACTATGAAGGACAAAAGAAGTAAAAGAAAGCTTACAGATTAGGAAATATGTTCACAACATCATGCCTTCTTCTTATCTAAGCTTATACAAGCTGCTCCTTTTTCTTCATTATTATCTGTTTCTAGATTGATCTGAGAAATTTAATTTTAATGGAATCTGAAGTTTTGGGATTGAGGCGTAGTTGATTTAGTGAATTCTGGATTTTAGAGGTTATTTAAAATTTTACATTGAATATTGACACTAAGGTTCTATGTTAGGTGCTTGTTTTCATTTGTTTTTAAAATATTGTGTTATTAACTTCACTTTTTTGTGCTTTTTGCCTTTCAAATTTTGTGTTTACCTGACCTAAGTGTTATAACAGCTGAATTTGGTACTCTGATAAGTTGAACTGTTGATTCCTTTATATTCTCTCCTCATGAGCTCCTAGAAAGGGGTGAATATATGTTCTCTTTCATTTCTTCTATAATAAAATTCCCATGTTTAAGGAGTATGATTGGATAAAATATTTCCCCCTTTTTCCTCTCAGAAACCTTGAACTTGTTTGGGTTATATTCCTGTAGGCAGCATATGGTGTACTATGTGAAAGAAGTAAAATAAGCATCCTTTTGTTTGAATGCAAAGGTACTTTAAAATGAAGTGAAAACAAATAAAATGATTGGTTTCTTTCGAGACTGCCTGTTGACTTCTAGAATAGGAGATGAGAGTGTTCGACTCTCCCCTCCCATGCAGGCATATAAAGATGATCTATCTATTAGATGATGGTAGCAACTATGCTCTTGTATGCCTCTTTTTGTTGTATCACCGGGAACCATGTGGTACTTGTGAGATGAATTATGATCTTGAAGTCTTATGTCCTTACTAATAAAAAGTAGATTTTGGCTCTAATGCCGAGACAAGCTATGCTGCTTATTGTCCGAAAATGCTTCAGCATATACCCGTGCAAGATAAAATTAAGTGTTGCGACATTTTGTTGCATTATGAAGATTCCAACCCCTACTGACACCATAATTTTGATATAGATCAGCAATTATACTCTAAAACAGTTGTATTATACTCCTAACTTCACCCTTCTTATGCATTGGCTTATAATTTGTATGTTATGCAACTTATTTACCCCAAAAAAATGTTATGCAACTTTGTTCATTGCCAGTAACTAGATTGTTTAAACGTCAAATTCTGCAGAGGTCAGTCAGATGTCCAGCCGCTTGACATCAGAATCCCGCATATATGTTGATAAGGCGAGAGATTTAAATCGTCAGGTTAGTTTCATTGATTTTCAAGATGATGCACTTGAACATGAAGTTTGCTGTTCATTCTCTAAAGTTCTCTTGTGCACTCACTTTTTTTTTTGGGGGGGGGGGGGGCATTTATATTGTTTAAGAAGAATAACGTAATATAAGCTGCTCAAACTATGTAAATCAATATGACAAGAGTGGATTGCTCTAGTGGTGAGCACCCACCACTTCTAACCAAGAGGTTGTGAGTTCAAGTCACCCCAAGAGTAAGGTGGGGAGTTCTTGGAGGGGAGGGAGCCGAGGGTCTATCGGAAACAGCCTCTCTACCTTAGGGGTAAGGTCTGCGTACAAACTGCCCTCCCCAGACCCCACTAGTGGGATTATACTGGGTTGTTGTTGTTGTAAACTATGTAAATCAACATTCTAAAAATTATATGTTCTGTCACTCTTTTTCTCGTTATGGACATGCATTTAGTCTGATTTCGAACTTGAAATTGCTTTAATCACTCAATTCATTTTCTTCATTACTCCAGGCTTTGATTCGGAAATGGGCTCCTGTTGCTATTGTCATTGGAGTTGTTAGTCTCCTCTTCTGGGTTAAAAATAAGATCTGGTGATGCTGCCAGAAGATGTACAGCTTAGAGGAGATGTTACTCTCACATTGGACAGTGCACAACCGACATAAACACAATGGTGTTTGCTTTTCTGTGCATGGGGCAAGTCAAGCAATTTCAGTTGAAAATGTAAAACAGAGAAAGTAAACCATGACGAGCCATGTCGCTGATACATGAGAAATGATATTGATACGAATTGCTCGGCATGTTTTTTCTCATTACTCAACCACAAACTTGCCCTCCAATAGGTTATTGTAACTCTGAAATGACGACTAGCTATGCAGTAAATTACAGTGGAGGCCTCATAGTGTACTATTTTGATTTGTTTAGTAGAAATGCATGATCATGATTTCTGAAGATTATAAAGAGGTTCTTTCTATCTCAATATTTGACGTTTTGAAGCATAAGAGAATTGAATGGATTTTGGTGTTTCTGTCAGAAAGACAGAAGATGAATTGTTGAAGCAAAGACACAAATGATATTTGGAGTACTATATCCACTATATGAATTGTAGAAGCGAAGGCATAAATGATATTTGGAGTACTATATCCACTATATGAATTGTAGAAGCGAAGGCATAAATGATATTTGGAGTACTATATCCACTATATGAATTGTAGAAGCGAAGGCATAAATGATATTTGGAGTACTATATCCACTATATGAATTGTAGAAGCGAAGGCATAAATGATATTTGGAGTACTATATCCACTATATGAATTGTAGAAGCGAAGGCATAAATGATATTTGGAGTATTATATCCACTATATGAATTGTGGAAGCTAAGACATATATCCACTATTCATTCTGCAGTTTTAGTTTGAATCTTGTTTTTTTTTTTTCATGATTGTGGTCATTGCATGTGATGTGAGGGAGTTTTTCTGTAAACATTTTATTTGGTTGGCATGCAACAGCGGTGAAAGGTTATTCTACGAGGCTAGAGGTGTCCTCAGTTCATGTTCGTTATACATCTGTTGGCAAATGCCCCTGCTCATCGCAACTTATGACAACAGGGCAGCCTGGTGCACTAAGCTCTTGCTATGCGCGGGGTCCGGGGAAGGGCCGGACTACAAGGGCTTATTGTACGCAGTCTTATCCTGTATTTCTGCAAGAGGTTGTTTCCACAGCTCGAACTCGTGACCTCCTGGTCACATGGCAGCAGCTTTACCAGTTACGCCTTCAGCTTATGACAACAATAAGAAACCAAGTGTAATCCTACAAGTGAGGTATGAGGAGGGTAGTGCGTACGCAGACCTTATTCTTACCTTGTGAAGGTAGAGAGGTTGTTTCTAGTAGATTCCCGGCTCAAGAAAAGTATAGTCACAACAGTGTTGAAAGATTGACACTAGCCTTTTGAGCCTAGCCGAGCTCGAGTGGGTTCCAACTGAACTTACTACATAACTTAGAAGTCTAATTCAACCGAGATTGTTATAGTACCAAGCTGAGTAGAGCACGAGACCATAAGATTCAATTTTTTTATTTATATTTTTAATCTTTGTGCCCAATCAAATTGAGACGTAAAATAAATTGGGAAGAGTAAAAAACATAAAAAAGGAAAAAGTAGTAGCGCATCTCAAAGGGGATTCTTGTAAAATTATTCCAAACAATATTTATTTTTTCTAGCCGGAAATATATATATATATATATATATATATATTTATATTGTACATCCGCCGACTATTTTTAATTTAAAAATTAGATGGACGGTTATTTGGGTTTATATGGGTTAATTCTTCTAAGTAGTATAAAAATAGCCATATTTACAACTGGTAATTAAAAAATAGTCACAGTTTTAAAAGTAATTGAAATTTAGCCACTTTTACATGTAAAGATAAAATCCGAATAAAAACACTCTTAAAAATCCGAAAAAATTTCAGCATAATATGCTGGAGTTCAAATTTTTTACATATGAGATTACAACATAATGTGCTGGAATATTATAATGTGCTTGAAGATTATACGTAGGAGCTCCATAATCTAACATATTATGCTGGAACTTTCCATGTGCTGGAGTTCCAACATAATATGCTGGAAGTTTATATGCAGGAGCTTCATAATCCAGAACTTTCTATGTTTCAGCAAAATAATGGCTATTTTTAATGACTTAGCAAACACTGGATATTTTTTTATGGGAAAATGGCCCTCTATAGCCCCTCAAAATTTTAATAGCCCATATTTTCCTTCATTGACACGAAATATCCCTTCGGCCCAAACATATTACATTTAATAGCCCGAAATATCTATTTTGTATATTTTTTGTATAGTGACAGTCGATTTTATATATATTTTATATAGTGACAATCTATTTTGTATATATTTTATATAGTGACAGTCTATTGTATATAAATTGTATAGTGACAGTCTATTTTGTATATATTTTATATAGTGACAGTCTATTGTATATAAATTGTATAGTGACAGTCTATTTTGTACATAAATTGTATAGCGACAGTCTATTTTGTATAGTGACAGTCTATTTTGTATATATTTATAGTGATTGTATATATTTTGTATAGTGACAGCCTATTGTATATATTTTGTACAATGATAGTCTATTGTATATTTTTTGTATAGTGGTCGTCTATTTTGTATAGTGACAGTCTATTTTGTATCCCGGACACTTTTATCTATCCAACGTGTATAGACTGTTATATGGTGTATAAGAGTGTATATATATTATTCTTTTACCTTAACCTTATCTATCCAACGTGTATAGACTATTTTGTATAAAAATTTATAATTAAGAAGCTGCTGACATTTTTATTAAAACAAAAATCAAAGAACGGTAATGAACAAAAATAATAGGTCCACCTCACAAAAAGATTAAAGTAATTCTATTGAATCACAACTCACCAGACTCATGTTACTCTAATTAGTTTTTTTTATTTAATTCTTTTGCTATTTTTTAGTTTCTATTAACAAGCATAAATTTCTTTCTGCTAATTGTAAGTGTTAGTAAATTTAAGGAACTCATTATTCGTAATATGAAAAACTGGGTATCTCTCTGATGAATATTTAAAGGGTATTTTACACCTTTTAATTTTTATCCATAAATCAGGAGACTGATTCAAAATGGTCCAACTTGACCTTAAAAAGCAAAATGTGACACTTATTCAGATTAGAGGAATATAAAGACGAAGCTTTTAGAAGAAAAAAGAAGAGAGAGAAATTAAAACTTGTTCATTTCACTGTAAGTTGGTGCTTTTGATTTTAGTTATATGAAATTTTCATTTCATTTCTCCATTTCTTCAGTTGTCTATTAAATACTGCAAATCAAATAGAGTTAAATAAAAAAATTAATATATTTTTAAAAATTTAATAATTTATGGTGGAGAAATAATGAAGAGTAGTAGATCAAAATAGATTAAAAACTCTACTTTGCAACTTGAAGATTTGATCAAATGGGTCAGCGCATTTTTGTGTGTGTAGCCAATGTAATAAATTTTTGGGTATAACTTAGCAATCAAATTTAATATGCTAGCGATTTTCTTAATTTAGTGCGGAACGACCATAAATGAAGTTTGCTCTTTTTCTATTACCGGTTCAAAAATTGGGTAGTCCAATTCTATTTTCACTCCAAAGCTTGATTCAGGCCCATACCAACTTTATCGTTGCTCGAAACGGAAATTCCGAAGAACAATCCAATCAACAAGTAAATAGGAGTACGAATTTCGGGAAAACAATCCACTTAACAACGGTAATATTTTCGAATTCAAACTTATATTTGAATGGTGATTTCGTAATCACAGAAACCAGCCATAAACTTCAGCGCCGTAGCGCCTGGTATTCGAACATTGGCTCGAGGCATTTTCTCTACCCCTTCTTACCCTGAAAAAGCAGGGACACCTTACGTTCTTGAACCGAAGTTGTTTATTTCAAGAATAGGCTGGACCACCCAGCTGTACCCTTTTCCGTTATAACTAGGAAAGAGAGGTGCATGATCTCGCGAATTACTTCTGTCAATCTTTTGCTCTTTTTCCTTCTCTCTTCCAGTTCTCCCCCTCTACTTTATTTGACAGGGGCGGAGAATACCACTCTATCAATAACAAGAAAAAAGTAGCAATTCTGTTTCAAATGGTTTGAGCTTGGAAGCAACCTGCTATCTATCGATAGGCGAGAACAGACTGCTATTGACTGCTTCGCCTATCTATTCTATTATGGCCGGCTTGGAGACATCAGAGGAAGACCATCATCTCTATCCGGGTACGATCATAGNCGAAAGCTCTAAGTATATCATCAACAACTCAAAAGATGGATTCCGAACAGCAACAGTACGATAATGTACTATCAGACGGCGACAGTGAGTACGACGATTCCGATGATTCACAAGAGGACCCAACTTTTGACGTTCTTGAGGAGACAAGATCCAGTCTTTCAAAACTCTCAATCAAAAAACACAAATCCAAGGATATGTCTGCTAGGTAAAATATCTTGATTCTGCAAACCCATTTTAGGTTTTTCTTACGAAAATGGCAATGATAAGTGAGATATTTGATATTTGAGATACATTTGATATTGTTCGGAAATGTAGATGTAATGTTTCTAAGGCTATGGATGAATGCATTGTGGGAGAGCAGGACGTGGAAAAGATGGTGCCGGAGCTTGATGAAAAAGATCAGAAAAGTTATGAAACTGTTCAGAAAATAATTAAAGGTATCAATAACATTAGTATTACTTTTGTTTTTATATGCTGTATATGGTAGCTTATAAATTTTTAGTACCGTTCACTTTTGCTGATTATTGGTAGAATAAATAAACCTGTACTAACTAATAGAGTGATTGTCTAGTGTGTGTTTTCAAAAGACCTTTTTTTTAATGAAAGTTAATTTCTTAGTATATGCATTTACTTGGTCACTGAATTTCTATAGCCGACTCCAACATGTTTGGGATTGAGGTGTAGTTGTATTTATTAAGACGCAACCCCTTGCAACGACATGGTTATTCGTGAAAGTTTGTCTTCATTGGTATATAAATAGTAAGATCAAATGACCCTTTTCTATAATGTTGCAGTTCCTTCTTTCAGAAAGAAGTAAATATTCAATCTTTAGAATGAGATAACTAGAATGTTTTTTCAATATTGCTAGCTCTACAACTTAGAATTTGTATCTATGGATCATCTTCCTGTTTTCCGCAACATTAAAATGATTGTGTTCTTATTTAGGATTTTATTTTTCATCGGTGTATGAAAGCTTATTGGTCTCTGCTTACTTGGTGGCAGCTGGTCAGATTAAAAAATTTAAAGTGGAGCAATGTAAGATTTACCTTAGGAAGCATGGGCTAAGATTGACAGGGAGCAAAGATGTACTAATTCAGCGCATTAAAGAGCATACTGAGTAATTTCCCTCTCTATTTATTCTGGCATTGCCTTTTTATCTCAAAAACTACTATCCCTAAAGCAAGTTCTATTGTATTTCAGTATCGTTGATGGTCGTGGCGAGAAGAAGTATCCCCCATCTAGTTTTGTATTGAACTGCAAAGGTACCTTTTTTTTTTCCTTATCCCTCTATGGATAAAATATTTAAGTGGACGCACAGTTTTATTGTAGCAAAGGTCTATGATCATTAGCCATACGAGATAGCCAAGGAAAGGTTTATGTATCTATTGTGATTATAACCAACATAGCTTTTACCCTGTGTTTGTGTTATAGTTCAGTAATGAATTGGATTTTTGGATATTGTCATTTTCATCTATACTATCTTTATAATGCACAGGGGATGCATGCACTGGGGATGTTGTTATGTTTGAACAAAATGTATATGAAATGTAAGATGCTTTTGACTCTAATAAGTTGTACTAGTAAGCATCTTCAAGTTTTATTCACCTATAGGCTGAAAAGCTTGTGGCAGATGTCAAGTATACTTCTCGTTATTTCCCTCTTAGACATTGTTGAGGGAGCAGTATGTGTGCATTTACTTAGTAGGTTCATGATTGTGGTTCATCCATCAGGTTCAGCATCGCATCCAGGAGTGCTACTGGTCCTCCCTGCGGTACAAGAATAGTTGCAGGGCGGATTGTGAAAGAGAGCTATGGTGCTAAAAAGCAGCAACACACCTTTACGGTGAGCTTAAAAGCAATCAATTTTAGATTGAACTCTTGGGAACAAGAAGAATAAGAAGTTATATTCAATTCTAGTTCTGTGCATAGCAGCAATTATTTGACTAGCCTTTTCTGTTTTCGTTTCTTTTTTGTACTGTTGGTCAGGTAGAGGTATTGTGGAGTAAAGGGGAGAAACCGCTGCCTCCACTGCATCCTCTCCTCATTAAGGGCAGAAATCTCTATAGATTGAAAACATTGCGACAGGTTTGCTGAAGAGTAGTTAGAATTTCTATTACTTATGATTATTCCTGCAGCAATATGCTAATTAAGCTTATGCTCAATTTGAAGAAATGGGACGATGAAGCAGAAAGGCAGGAAATTTTATCAGAAAAGCATGCCAGAGGTTCTGTTGCTCGGTCTAACAGCGAAGCACGCGTCCAAGAGAAGGAAATGCGAAAGATGCGAAAGGAAAATAGGTAGGTATCATGATAATTTTGGCTCTTCTGAAAAGTAGATTGGTAGAATGAACTATACCAGCTTCACATGATTTGAACATTGAATCATTTTAGTGATGCCTCTAATGAAGTTTCTTTTAACTGTATCTCTACATATCCCAGGGTAAACACAGATTCACATCCTACCTTAAACACAGAACACCAAAACAACAGAGTACACAGTAAAGTGCATTCTCTCTCAACGAACTCGGTCAAAACGACAGATCAGCATCAGGTAGAGGTGGACAAAGGCCAAAAAGACGAAAAGGAATACCAAAATGTCATACAGGAAAATATCTTCTCTAGAGAAAATTGGCCAGAAGAAAGGCCTCATCAGAGGCAGCCTTTGACTAATGGCTTCGGAAATGGCATCAAATCCAATCCTTCAAAGAGTCCATTAAGAATGCCTTACTCCAATACGCATATGCCACCAATGTGGAGGAGCTCTAACAATGGAGGTTACGCGAACAACAATAATAGTCCATTAAGAATGCACAACTCTAATGCGCATGTTCCAATGTGGAGGGGCTATCGAGATGGGGGTTATAACAACTGCAATACTAGTAGAAGTCCATTGCGAGGACATGGTCATACCTATACCAATAGTCATTCACAAAATATGAACTATAGATCTCCACAGAGAACGGAGTACTGGCAAGCAAGGAATGGTTGGTGTAACGCTGGAGCTGTGGAGCGTCCATTTCAAGGACAGCGCGAGGAACAAAAGAGGCCTTGCCGCTTTTATGCTCAAAGAAGATGCTACTATGGTCATAGTTGCAGGTACTTGCATGATTCTGTAGATATGTAAACATTCAAGTGAAAGAGCAGCGAGTAAGCTTCTTCACAGATCCACTATTTTGGATTCCTTTTTTTTGGGTGACAAGTCTTATGTCTCAGGAATAGCGCCATTCATTGTTCGCAAAAAGCTTGAAGAACAAACTGTTCTGATTTTGTTCAACTTTTTCTTCTATTTAATGCGCCATGTGCAAAACGAAGTCTCAAGCTTGAATAGAAAAGGTGTGGTAAGTTGATGACCACTATGATTGTCTGAATTCTAAATTTGTCAGGACGTAAATTTTTATTAATTTGGAAATGAAGCTTAGTAAATTGATATAATTGAGTTGTTATTTTCTAGGACAGCCGTATAGAAATCACCAGGACTTTGCCCGGCAGATTCTGGGATAATTTTAGATGCCGTAGAAATATTGTTCAATCAATAAAAAGGGAGATGTGGTAAGTTGACGAGTATAAGAATACTAAATTCGTCGGTAGATTCATAACGAAGTAACGTAAATTGATACAATTGAGTTATTTCTTGGACAACCATACAGAAATCGACCAACATTAGCACCAGAAGTTTGGCCCTCCAGATTCTGGGATCAGCTTAGATGCTTTAAGAACTGTTGTTCTGTTCTTAATTTTTTACTAACGAGGTCTGCAGCAAATAAAAGTTTTTGTGATTCAAAGGTCTTAGATCCAGCACAAGGAGGTTGAAATCAGTATCCACTTAGGACAGATTTTGGTTTGTAGGATTCAACGGGAGAAATTGATAAGATTTAAGGTGAAAACAGAATGTCTAGATTCAAATACTACTAAATTTAAGAAACAAGGTCAAAGCAATACCTATCAAATATGAATAAACTTTATATGCAAGGGCACAAGCAATACCTATACATTATTCCATAGTTTGGCATATTCCATACGACCACAGCTGACAAACAGGTTCCTAATCTTATCTGAGAATAAATATGTCAAACGTTTAGATTCTGGTCAAACTACTCTGACTCTTTGACCAGGAAAATTAGAAACTATATATACATAAACATCGTGCTCATTTACACGTTTATCGACCAGGTTACAAATGTCATGATGTGAACTATAATCTGCCACCAAGGATCATATTGAACTACAACATGATTTGATCACAACATATCCAGACAATTTGAATTAGATATCTAGTAAAGAATACCAAACTTATGAATAAACCTAGAGTATCAGTTGCTCTACCAGCTTATCAAAGATCGACATCCGAGCATGAGTATGTTCAGCCTGCTCAGGAGTAATTTCCAAGTACTTTCTGGTTTACCGGAATGGTTTCACTTTTTGAGATTCGATAAACCAGACAATCCATGTTCCACAATCTTCCAAAGACAACTGTTCCAACAAGCATTGGCAAGAGGCGCCTTTTTGTTTCATCACCATAACCTGCCGAGATATATGCCTAGACATGGGAGGGGTGAAATACCAACACCTTACAATTTCAAAAGAGTTGAAGCTTCCATCTCAATTAGGCATTATTAATTGAATTACTCTTGTTCACACCTTGTAGCTCCATTGGGGAATTGGTTATACTACTTACTGACCCCAAGGTTTGTGAACTCAACTGAGGGCTTGCTGGGCATGCTTCTGGATTACCAGTACTCATAGGATGAATAGCCCCTGAACTCAGTTGTGGGCTGAGCGGAGTTCGTTGGTTCATCTGCTGCGGGCTGGCCTGTTGATGTTGCTGTTGCTGCTGCGGCTGCTGGGAATTTTGATTCATTTGTTGTGGGATTGTCGGATTTGATGGAGAGCCCACTGGAGGAGGTGAAACTACCGCCTGTAGAGGCGAAGCTGTCTCTTGCTGCTGTTGCTGCTGCTGCTGCAATTGCTGCTGCTGTTGTATATGTTGCTGCTGCTGCTGTAGCTGCATTTGTTGCTGCTGTAACTGCATCTGTTGCTGCTGCGGGTTCATGTAAAGATTCATACCTGCCATTAGCTTTGGTGGACCCATTGGACCCACTGCTGGTCGCTGCATTGGATTGATATTAGCTCGGTTCAGAGAGCTCAACATCGAAAGACCAGCAGAGCCTGGATGCATTTGTCTAATACCCGTAATACCACCTATACTTGACTGTGGGCTTCCCAACAAATTTGTTCGGTTTTGTGCCATTCTCAGCTTGGTTTGCATGAGCGCAGCTTGTTGCGGAGTGAGTGCCCCACTACGAAGTTGTTGGCTGATTGCGTTACTTATATTAGATGCCTGGCTCAGATTTATTGTGTTTTGAGATATACTGCCCATGCCAGCCATGGCTCCCATTGGAGCTGAAATTCCAGGTCCACCAACTCCTCTTACACCTCCCATTCCCATAACATTACCAAGACCACCAAGCGCAGCGATGTTATTGCTAATGTTTCCCATACCTACATTACCAAGGCCCATCATCATTTTCCTCTGCATTTGTGAATGCTGTGGCTGGGTTTGTTGTGACTGCAACTGTTGCTGCTGCTGTTGTTGTTGTTGTTGTTGCTGTTGATGCTGCTGTTGTAATAGCTGAAGTTGCATTGGGGATGGTTTGATATCCATTTGATTACTCAACTGCATGGAATTCTGGCCAACTGTATTTAACTGCGCAATTGGATTAGAAGCAAGCATTAGTTGAGATCTCTGCAACTGTGGATGCTGCTGTTGTATCAGAGGATGTTGATTCTGCTGCTGCTGCTGTTGTTGCTGCTGCTGCTGCTGCTGCCGCTGCAGAGGGGCTAATGGATCAGATTGTTGAGGTCTAGAAGGCATTGAAACCCCATTTAGGAGTCCTTGAGAGATCTGTAATGCTTGAGCATTCCCAGGAGGCAGTATTCTCTGGCCTTGCATGTTCTGGGGTGAGTTTACTGACGAATTAATACTGTTAGAGGGCCTTGCAAGCTCATTGGACAACTGACCAGAGACCCCTTCAGAGTATTGCTGCAGATCAGCTCCTGCCCCATTTGGTGGCATTCCTGGCACGTTAGTTTGATTACTTGAAGCACGATTCATGCGGATTGGTTTTGGTTGGACATGATCTTCCACAAGGTATCCTTCGCGTACCATCTGCAAACACATTTGGTGCAAGGCAATATAAGGACAAGTAGCTGAAGCAATGTTGATCCTTAGCAATTTCTATTTTACGCAGTTAACTTACCAGTGAACTAAATTGTGCTGCAAGCAAGTCCGCAAAGTGCTGTCACAAGAAAATTTCAGGCATAAGAATCAGAAACGCATGAGAGTATTGTAAATTTCTTCTACTGGCATCCCAATTTAAAATGGTTGAAACAAATGAAAGACGACTCTTTAGAAGCTACCATGAGCTCTCTAGTTCTCCGTGTTTCAGATACACCTTACCATATCCACGAATTGATGTCTCTTGGGCATCTCGTAAAATTACACCTAGTTATTTCTGTTACTCGCTTTACTAAGACTTTGCTTGGAGAAATCCAATTAAATGTCTGAAATCCAGAATTCATCTGTCGTGAACATCATCAAAGATCGATAAATGCGTATGAAAGGCGATTGTCATCAAATATTTGATCAACTGATCCTAAGATTTGATTAATAAACGTCACTATTTCAGGATACCTCGCCTTATGAGATACTTGGAAGATTATACACCATAGTTCACTTCAAACCTGATCAGCATGACGAAATTTTCTACTCAACGTAGCTGCTATAGCAAGATAGCTTGAACAACTATAAGTTCCATCTCAATATGACCTTTTTTAATTAAAATAAAGCTGAAAGGGTTACAATATCTAACTGACTGTATACTTTTGCCTTCATTTAAATTAAATATGGCAATGATGCTGCAACAATGATAGATTTTATTAGTTCCTGCCCAACTAGAAGGGACAACACTCTTGCTTTTCTGATGTAAATACCAGCGTACCATCTTAGTGCTGGTTTGATCAAAGTATTCAACTGCTAGCCTTGAATAGATTCAAGCAAAATTTAATGAGTTCCAATGAGTATTGGACAGATTTGCAACATTAAGATTGGCACATGCTAGCAGAAATGGGATTTGAAAGCTCCACCAAACTGGAAGCTAGATCCAGGAGTTATGGACTGCTTATCATTCTTCCACTTCACTTTTCAGGGTTTCCATATAGTTTTAAATTTTAAATTCAGCTCACAACAGCTGGCTTTAGCACGGAAACTCATCCTACTTGATTAAGTAATATGAGTGGACAACACAAGAAGAGGGTATCCAGTCTGTGCCATAACAAACAATAGTGTGCTCAGAACTCACAGTATTCGGCAGCGTTGGGAGGTAATCCTCTGCAGTGAAGTATTCAGCATCTTCTATTTCTCCAATATGCATTGCCACAGTGCCGTCATTCGGCTTTTCTGACATGATCATTCTAGTCCGCACCTTAGGAACATATGAAAAACCATTTCCTAGTAGATAACATCAAGCAGTCAAAGTCAGTTACAATAAAGCAAATGATACAGATTGAGAGTGCATGAAGACAGACCTTGAAGTATGCGCTCTGTCTGCAGAAAAGTCAAGACTCTTGTTTTGCAAACATTCGTACTGCCACCTACTAGTGATTTTGACAATGACATTTTGGAAGATTCATCCTTGACATTCTCATTGTTTGAATCATTGGAAAGATGAATTAGCAGCTGTTGAGTAGGAAAGGCATTTGGCTTCCTGCTAGAGTACTCCTCGACCTTACTCTTTTTGGGATTAAGTTGAAACCTGAAATTCAGAGACATAAGGCTTTGAAGATTTTCAACAAGAGTAAATATCGTGCTTTAGGCACAGTGGTTAAGAAAATTACATAGTTAAAAAAAGCAAGCTGATAAATAAGAAGATATACATTACATCTGAAGTAAAAGATTACTTGATTTGACTTGAATAAGCATGGGGATTTAACGAACTAATTGAGAGAGAGAGAGAGAAGCAGTGGTGATATGTGAAGTTGTAACTCATCACTCCAACCAGAGCTCTATGTACAAGTTTTTATCAACACCAATTAAGTAATACAGATATAAATTCAGATGTCAGCATTGGATGCCTTTTGCAACACATTTCAGGCATAATCATTGGACTAGAGGCAGATATTTGGGTTTAGCTAAAACTTAAAGGGTGCAAGAAGAAAGCAATGAAGAAACCAAAAGGGCAACTTAAGCTGTAATATAGAACAGTTTAAGAGCATGATCAATTTTATCCCAAAAGAAAAACCATGATCATTACTG